ATTTAAATAAAGGGTTGAAAAAGTAAATTTTACAAACAATGAGGGGCTGAAAACAGAAAACTTTCAAGGCTAATTCAATACATGCAATTTGATCAAATGATGGCACCGTGACTATCGATGAAATACAACACATTACAACACCAAAAGTCGTTGTTAAACGAATTGGTTCGGTCTCGAACCAATAAAAATCCGAAACTACTAACACGACGACACTATGACACTACGACACTACGATTCATACTAATAACGTTTGGGAATTCAATATACATGCGAGTGTGCACAGACGTCTACGAACCATCTTTGGGCCCCAAAAGTGTAAAATCTTGTTTGTTGAGCCTAGCTAGCCCAATGACCTGATCTTAAGGCCCGAAGACCTCTATCTTACGAAGTGTTGGGTTTTACGGATCCGACACAACGTAAAAGGACTTTCAATGGCTTGTATACTACTGGTCCCCAAGGGTCCTTTGGTATTGCTAGTAGAGTCTACCTTTTTATGCGAGGCGGGTCTGGGACCCCTCGTACCTTTTTATCCCCAACCGGCTAATGGAGTCATCGAGACCTTCGTGTCCTCTTTCTCTTCGGATGTGGGACTACACGTAGTCAGGGCGGTTGGATAATGTGATTAGTATGGACGACGCCTACGGGATCGTTAGTATTGCTATAGACTAGTCGTTTGTGTAACGCGCGTTTGTAGCAAATAATCATGCTCAAAAATAATCCAACGTCGCCTGGTATTGATAACTTCACACGTTGCAATGGTTTCAATGTAAATTCATGTAATTCAAAGAATTAGGAAAACATCAGGTTTTCCTAGGGTTTTTCAATACATACGGATTCGGAATGCATACAATTTTAATGAACAATTTTTACAAGTATAGAAACAAACAAGCATACCTATGGATCTTCACACCTTTTTGACTATACTATTTTCAGAAAATATCAGATTTTCTGGTGGTTTTCAAACAATACAAAACATTGGATTTCAAACACTACTTATGAACTCACCAACATTTCATATGTTGATGTTTTTCAAAATACTTGTATTCTCAGGGAACCAGTGAATCAAAGGAAATCATATTCAGTGATGGCTTGCAGTTTATTTATGTACGAAACGAACAATTTATTTTTGGGAATGTAATGTTTGAACAATGTACTTCATGTAAACTTTACTGGTTGTACTATATTAATGCATGGTGACGAATGTTGTTACGTTTCATATATATACAATGTTATGGTATTCAATTGAGTCACAACAGCCCCCGGACGCTTCCGCCGTCTGGTTCGGGGGTGTGACAGTATCGAAGATAGTCGTCTCCAGTTTTATGCAACACATCAGGAAACCCTTCATTCCGAATATGTTGGAGGGATTTATGATGCATTATCGAAAGGTGATAGGGAGTCCCGATCAGTTGGAAAACGTGTGTTCCTACCATCATCTTTTACTGGTGGTCCACGTTATATGTATAGCCACTATCAAGATGCTTTAGCGATCTGTTGGGTGCACGGGAATCCACAGTATTTCATTACATTTACATGCAACGTTAAATGGCCAGAGATTACACAGTATATGGACATGCATGATCAGAGAGACCCGCAAAGCAGAGCAGATATCATTGCTAGAGTATTCAAGCTGAAAGTACAATCCTTCATAAATTATCTTAAGCAGGATAAATCTTTTGGAGAAATTGATGCATGTATGTGTGACCATTCTTTTTATTTATCAATTATTACTTCACTTCTATAGTGTGCTCAATATTGTTTCCCAATAGTTTATACCAGTTTGTTAATTCCAATTTCAAATGTTTCCCCTTTTCGTATATAACAGATTTCTATATCTGTGTAGATCTGTACACAATTGAATTTCAAAAAAGAGGGCTTCCCCACTATCACACATTAATTTGGGTAAATGCCGAAGACAAGATAAAAACTCCGGAAGAAGTTGATGCGTTTATTACAGCAGAACTGCCGGATCCATCACTAGAGCCACAACTGTATGCAACTATAACAACATGCATGATCCATGGTCCGTGTGGATTGCTCAATCAAAGAGCGCCGTGTATGAAGGATGGAAAGTGCAGCAAACATTTCCCAAAGCCATTCCTCGCTGCTACGGTATTTGATACAGAAGGTTATGCTCGCTACAAACGCGGACCAGATGCCCAACACATAACATCAGGTGGACTTATTGTCCACAATGGATATGTTGTGCCATATAACAAGAAACTATGCTCCAGATTCGATGCTCATATAAATGTAGAATATTGTGGGTGGAACATGATGATCAAATACCTTTTTAAGTATATCTCAAAGGGAACAGATCGTGTCAGATATGTCATTCAAAAGGATGTAGGTGTCGATGATGCTGGACCAAGCAAGACTGTCAATCAACAACCGGATGTCATATGTCAAGAAAAGCAACACATCGATGAGATAAAAACATATTTGGATGGTAGATATATTTGTCCACATGAAGCAGCATGGCGAATATTTGATTTCCCTATACATCACCGAAATCCAGCGGTCTAGATACTATCAGTTCATGAACAAAATACTTAGTCAATTCTTTTCAAGGAAGACACAACAATAATACAAGTTCTCCGTAATCCATCTGCTACTAGGACAACCCTTTTAGCCTGGTTTGAAAGCAACGCAAAGGACCCCACGGGTCATGAACACACATATATTGAGTATCCAAAATACTATAAATGGGATGGCGCTTCCAAATCGTGGGATAGGAGAGCAGATTTTTCATCTAAGATGGTTGGTCGTCTTGTATTTGTGCATCCATCATCTGGTGAGTTGTTCTACTTGCGGTTGTTGATGTGTCACCAAAAGGGCTGTACCTCTTCTGAAGATCTCCGAACCGTATCTGGTTATGCCTACATACAGATCTGTATGTAATGCGCTTGGAATCATAGGGGATGACATTGAGTGGCTTTCTGCGTTCAATGATGCTTCTACATGGGCAACACCATTCCAACTCCGTCTTCTTTTTTGTAGTTTGTTATTATTCTGTGAAGTTTCAGATCCAAATCTTTTTATGGGAAAAGGCTTATGAAAAGATGTCAGACGACTACATTTATAAATTAAAATCAACATTACCCAATAAGACTTTCTCTGCAACAGATGATGTGGTCCGACAGCAGCTACTTCATGATCTAGAAGACATGCTCTCTTCTTCTGTTCCAGCAAGATCACTGGGTCATTTCAATCTGCCCATGCCATCACCTGTTATGCATACAATTCTCCAAAATCGACTACTCCTGGAAGAGATGACTTATGACAAAAGGGTTTTGGCAGATCAGCATGCACAATTGCTTCCACAACTAAATACGCAGCAAATGGCGATCTATGGAAGTGTTGTTTCCTGTATAGAAGCAGACAAACAGATTCTTATGTTCGTTTATGGCCATGGGGGTACTGGAAAGACATTCCTTTGGACAACTATTCTTTCTTTTTTCGATCAGTCAGAAAGGTTGTTCTTGCAGTCGCCGCTTCCGGAATAGCATCATTGCTTTTGCCTTCTGGAACCACAGCGCATTCGAGATTTAAGATACCAATTGATCTCGCCAGCAACAGATCGTGCGATATAAAAAAAAAGAACATCACTAGCGGATCTTATGAAACATACATCACTCATCATATGGAATGAAGCCCATATGAGTGATAGACGATGCTTTGAATATCTTGATAGATCTTTACGGGATGTACTTGACTGTGACGAGAAGCCATTCGGTGGTATTTCAGTCCTTCTTGGCGGTGACTTTCGACAAACACTACCCGTTTTGCCAAAAGGCACACGATCCCAAATCATAGATCTTACACTGCCAAACTCATATCTATGGAAGTTTTTCGACATTCAGATGTTGACCCAAAACATGAGGCTCAGTTCGAATGAGGACAGCAATCCGCAGATAATGTCAATAGCCTTCTTTGCTGAATGGCTACTTCAAATTGGTGAGGGCATGGTTGGACAGCATGATCCAGATGATCCGCGCGACACGTCTTTGATTCAGATCCCTCATTCATTGCTGATACCTTCAGCTCATGACTCGCTACAACAACTGATACATTTTGTATATGACACAAAATTACTTAACAATCCCACAGTAATCGATCTATCAACACGAGCAATTGTCTGTCCAACAAATGAGGCTGCTGATAATATCAACAACATCATCCTCAAATTAGTTGAAACAGATAGCAGGACATATAACAGTACGGATGCAATGGAACCAAACGGAAGACACACATCAGATTTAGAGGGATTGTTCCCCATAGAATACCTAAATCAATTGACTTTCCCAGGAATACCACCACACACATTGGAATTGAAGTTGAAGAGACCCATAATGTTAATCCGAAACATCAGGCAAAGAGATGGCTTATGTAATGGAACCAGACTAATTGTCACACAACTTCTGCCAGTAGTGATTGAGGCCACTATAATCACAGGGACATCCATCGGACAACGAGTCTATATACCTCGCATAAAGTTCATCCATAAACCATTAGATTTGCCCGTCTCATTTACACGAAAGCAATTTCCTGTTAAATTATGCTATGCAATGACGATCAACAAAATCCAAGGGCAGTCTCTGAAAAAAAAAATCGGTGTTTATCTGTCTATGCCTGTTTTCTCACATGGGTAGTTGTATGTAGCACTTTCCAGAGCAACTTCCCCTGATTCATTGAAGATCCTTATAGAAAGAGATGATGATACGTCGTACAATGAAACAAAAAATGTTGTGTATAGAGACTTATTACAAAAAATTACTGCAACTGAGGTGTCCCACATCATCACCGCATACTGTCATTCCGTTCATATCGTCATTTTACTATAGTCATTGAGTGTTACACACCAGCAAATGTTTATGTGTGTTACAGATATGTTGTAAATTACAGAAAAAATTATGATCTTTTACATACGCTCATTATATCTATTTAAAATGGAAACTTACTAACATATCTCACCTACTGTCAGAAACGAACAGCAAACAATGACCAGCATATCTGAATTGAAGCGCGATGGAATCGGAAGTCCAATAGAATTGAGGATTATTCGGAAATGGAGGCATGATGTCCGCCGATATGAAACCTGGTTTCTTGGGGTTGACAGATTTGTAAGTGAATAAAAGATAACGACACTACAATCTTTTATTAACCATCACACATATTGATTAATCAAAATATCAACCATATTATTTTTCTTCCACATGGAGATGCAATACAGATCTTAGGGCAACGTACGAACCAGTCATACATAGAATCGGTACTTAATGTATCGGAATGTTACACCATATCAAAATACAGTTGCCCTGAATTAGATAAATATCAAAAAGTATTAGAGAACAATTTTTACAAAGATGTTGGACTCAGCTCTGTTATAAAACCACTTGCAAATACAATAACCATCCCAGCTACTTGGTTTCGTTTTGCTTCTAAATCACAGCTAACAGAACTTGGAGAACATCCGTCATACTATCTAGGTACTATCATAATATACAAAACTGATTTTAAACATAGAAAGTAACCATTTATCTGTCCACCTTTTTAGATTTCATTGGTATGGTGTCCAAGATCAGAGACTGCACAAAACATGATGGCCAACCGTATGTTATTCTTATTCTGACTGATGACATGTACATCTAATAACACGTAATATATGACTCTAACAAAATCATGTCAGCAGCACTGGTGACAAAATAATTTCTGAATCTTTTAGAGGCAATGAGGTCCCAATAAATATATGGAAAGAATGCTTTACGAATCCTATGAAATTCAGTCGGAGTCTAATCATCCCACCCCCTGCTATGACAGTTGTGGCAGTCACAAATCTAAAGCCTTCACTTTCTAGAGGTCTGTTACCCATTTTTTTATATATCATAACCACAATATGATATATGTTATTTATTACAATTCAAGTTGTTATTGTAGGAACATTACGTCACGGATCCTCACATGCTACGCATGTATATGTAAATCCACAAATCCCAGAAACCATAGAATTGATGAATCTGTAAACACTTACAACCAACCAAAATATATAAATACATTTATCCCAAAAACAAGAATGACATCTACATCAACAACATTGCAGGTATAGTGGTCCATATCGACCATTAACAACACCATCAGGGATACCAGCCAACTTGAAGGAAATCAGAGAAAAATCACGATCACAACTCCTGGTAAAAGTACACAACCCTCACCTGAAAGATAACTTCAAGTCCGTTATAAACACTAACAATGTTGGTTACATACAGGACAAAACGTTTTTAGTGAAAGCATCCATTGCAGACATTGTGTTCCAAGACAAATGGTGTCAAATGATATGTCCAACCTGTAGGGATCCAATCTTCAAAAGGGGAACGAAATGGTACTGCGGTGCACACTCAAAGATCGAAAAACCCATACTAACGTACGTACTGACCTGTAACCCTACAACATATTATTGTATTACAAAACATAATAACAGATAAAAACATCGTGCAGCCACAAGTTCCATGTCACAATAAGCGATCCAACTGCCACGATGTCAGCAGTCATATCTAAAACATCATTTCGAAAGCTCATAAATTCAGACTCAGAGCATACGGTAGACGACAATATAGCTCTTGACAGAAAGACCTTACCAGTGGTGATCAGTCAGCACAGGGGGGAAACAAAGAACAATGTCTATTCAAATGCTAAAAACATCAATTGACAATAATGTACGGTTCATCATAATCGACATAGAGATACCAGTAACAAGTCAACCATCAGCTGTTCCAGCAACTCCATCACAACCTCCACTAACAAGGTCTGCATTGGAACACAACCCCCCTATGTCAGACACAACCAGAGGACAGACTGCGCGTACCCTCACTTTTACTACAAATGGTACATACACATACATAAACACACATATCACTTTCATTAAATCTCTGTTTATGATATTGTTGATTAACACCTTACAGATGAGCCGATGCCTTCAGCAGATGTCAAACGCGCCCGGAAAAAATAAACAGGCACCCATAAAATGACACCCCGTTCTTTTGTAACCTCTTCATGTTTTGCTATGTTTAAAACCGTCAACAACTAATATTATTGTGGTGTCTTAACCATATGTTAGTATATGTTAAACATATTTGCTTTTTGGGTTATTTAGTATTGTAATCGAATAGTAGGTTACCATATATGTCTTTAATCTGGATGGTTTGCCACATGTAGTATGCTTTTCTATTAATATATATATATATATATATATATATATATATATATATATATATATATATATTATATATATATATATATATATATATATATATATATATATGCCCTTTGTTTATTCTCTATTTATACCAAATACACAAAATTTGGTATAAAGGACATTCATTTCAATGGTACATGATTTTTAATAATATATCTTCTTTAATCGGATTATTCACGAATGATGACAACACTCTTCACAAACAAAAATTTTATACGCAACAACAAATATCCTAGCTTCATTCCAAAACAAAAATCATGCCATCCCCTAAAAACCCCAAGGTCGAAAGCTTAAACTACATTCTTATGGCACATGTTTTCCAAATATATATTCAGACTTAACAAAAAGCATATGAAAATTCATTACATGTTTTTCCCTGTTAACACACTTCCAACGAGACCATTAATTATCACAGATTTCAACTATAACACTACCTTTCCAAATATGAAATGACATAAAAAATATCAGACATTTTTTTTATAATGGTTCCAATGTTTAAAAGTTAAGTTACATCTTCCACTTTTAAAGAAGCCATCAATTACAACATTTTTGTATAAATATCATATAAAAACTAGTTAGACCATTTTTCCGATAACCAAATTGTGGGTTATCTTCTTTTCAATTTTTTACCTTTACAAAAAATTTAGAATATGTAACGGATAAACATCACCATTCCTACATCTAAACACTTACGTCAATCCTAAATAGCCTTACATCACCTACAATAAAAGGACATAGCAATCGATTGCAACCGGTTACGTACACCAAGAACCCTTTGCCCTTTCGCATCGCATTTAATACCCCTCTTCAACACTCAAGAGATTCGACATTCCCTATAAATCAACAAACCCCATAACATCTCCATACCACATCCAATCACACTACCCATCGGAAAACCAAAAGCAAAAACCACTTCCCACAAAATGAAACCGGCTGAAATGGAAAGCATCATTCATATGCTGATTGGCCAAGCGGGGGAAGAGCTAGTCGCTTTAACAAACCTCGAAAGCCATTTCTACTTCAACCAGGAGATGAAGAAGGAACTGCTAGAGAACATGAGCCGCTAGCTAAAGTACACCAACTACCTAGATATGAAGGACCTCATCAACAACAGTACGTACGTGGCATCAAAAAGAATCATGGCGATTTATAGTCTAAAGAAGGAAACTGAAACGACCATCCAGGAGCTCAGGAAACTACTCAAAACACTTCCAGAAGATGATCAACCATACATGGACTGATCAACAACAAGAAAATCACCAACTCTTTTGTCATCTTATTATCCATTGTCTCTTTAAATCGTTTCCTCTTTTGATGCTATGCTTATGAACAGATCCATGGTTCAGCCTTGTATTCACCTCTAAGAAATATAATCTATCGTTTATGTCTATTTTCTCATTCCATATATAAACCGTAATGCACACACACAATAAACCACATGTGAAGCATGTTTATGAAGTTTTCTTCTCCTGGAAATTGTCTATTCCGTTGTCAGGTACTAAACCGTACCTTTAGCTTTTCAACATAAAGTCAAAATTTTGTCACATTACTAACTCGCTTCAACATAAAAATAGATAAGAAAGACCAATCATGTATGTATTTACATTTGCATCTGTTTTATCTCCTCTACATAGAGAAAACAACAAACGAAAAACGTTTAATCCGACCCCCGCATCGCGGGGGCTCCCCTCTAGTTTGTATATTTCTATACAGTAAATACAACATTTCAAAGATTACTTTATGTGACTAACAAAATTATATTTCTATTTTTGAAATCTCATAAAAAACATTACATAAGGTTTTTTGGCTTAAGTACTCGATCCTCAACAACTTCTACAAACTACAATAGCAACATACATTTCTTTTTATCTATCACTAGCTATGTGATTTTTTTTACAAATTATAGCAACATACTTACCATGAAAAGAAAAAGTTTTAATTTTAAACAACTTAGTTTTTTTACTGGTAACAACAATATACAACATTTAATATCAACATTTTTGCCTCGATTTCTCTAAATATTAGTATTTGAACCATATCAGAAGTAGGCTAACAAGTTAGAATCTAAATTAGGAATGATCTTATTTCCTTGAATATCAGATTTACGGTATTATAGACAAATTTTTTATTTGATTTTTAAATGTTCAATGTAGTCGTATTTATATGGTAGAATCAAATTGCATAATTACAATTAAAAAAAATTTATTAAGCTTTGTATGTAGGTATCCAACAACAATAAATATATTTTTGAAAGAACATTGTTCAAAATAATTTGCATAATCTAAATATATGTTAATTTAGTTCATTTCATACACTTTCCTGTAACATTGGATTTTTTTTTGTCATTTACATTCAAAACATGAGTTATTAGAACAGACACCTTAGGTGCTTGATGAAATGTTTCAAAGAATCTAACATAACTTCACTAGGCTCACCTCACAACTAGGTATAAATTTTAGCTTTATTTTTTTCTAGATTTTTAGCATCATATGTTTTTGTTGTTTGCAACTTTATAGTGTTACATGCTTTTTTTGTCCCATCCTCAAGTTTTTCTATCCGACTCATAATAACAAGTTGTGTGCCAATTATATCTTTTGACATTTTCAATGAGTCATGGGCAATATCTAAATCAAGCAAACATAACTGTTTTTATATTTATTTGTTAAAATTTCTATATAATTAATATTGTGGGGGGTTGATACGGTTCATTTTGAAGAAACATAAATAAGTTTTTATTTTTTGAAATAAACAATTATATTTCACAATATAACCATAAAATAACAATGTATTTTGAAAGTATGTTGTCATATGTGACAAGAAATTTCATTCAACTAATAATACCAATAACCCTGATTTTTTTATAATTATTCTGCAGTATCTATATACATTTGTATTTTATTTATACATTCTCCCACATTTAACGCGGGTCATAATCTAGTTGCTATTATCAAAAGAAAAAGAATGAAGTACATTGCTAAACCTTATGGTCAAAAGAAATAAAGTATGATGTTATTATAAAATATATTTTGTAAGTTTCATGGTACATATTTGCTATAATCTGCAAGGAAATGCAAGTATATTGCTGCTACAAGTAAAAAAAAATAAAGTACATTAGACTATGTTGCTATTTCCTGCAATTTGCTCAAGCAAGAAATCATAAACATTACACCAAAATCAAGAAGCCGTAAAACCAAACACAACACTACAATCACCAAAGGCCATGACTAAATGCCTCGGGATTAGAAAATAAAAGGATTTGCAGAAGGACAAGACTAATGTTACAACTTAAAAAGTGAATCGATACGTAGAAGAAAAAAAATCAATAAAAGATGTAAGCCAACCTTATACATACGTGTATAATGATACTCAGAGATCCCATGCGGAGGGCCCGCCTAACCCGACTTCAGGCTCCGGGGTCAACAACTGCACCGCCAAAGAACCGCTAGCTTTGCTCTTCTTAACTTTCTTTTTTTTCTTTCCCACCGCCACATCATCATCATCATCATCATCCTCTCTCTTTTCATTTCTATTTTCTTTCTTCTCAGTAGCATCAATGTACACCATCTCATCAGCATCATCATGACGTACTTTCGCTACATCCTCGGTGTCAATGACGGATTTGTCCTTGGAGTCCCTTGATTTGCGCTTTGATTTGGGATCCATTGAAGGGGTATTTTCGTCCTTGTCTTTGTTTGTGGGCTTATCTGGCTGCTTGTGTTGTTTCATCTTTTGTCCCGTTTTTGCATCAACTACTGAATGATTATCATCCATTGCCTTCTTAATGACTTTATCCATCGGTCTGCCGTTGAATATGTGTAAGCTTGGGACCAGATTCTTTATCTGTATTAATTACTAGATAATTTATTTTTCTTCCCTTATTGGAAAACAATAAGAAAACTAGAAATATCATTCTTCACATTTTATTTAAACTTCATATCTTAGTTTTTTTTTACATTACATATGAAATGGGAGGAAAAAAAATTTATACTAATCTCTAAAGAGGTAGTAAGTGTAGTGGCATTACAATTTACAATGAAGAAAGTATGTTACCTTTTTGGTTAACACATCCTTGTCTGCAACCGGATTCCCAACTAGGTTCAGGTTTTTCAGGTTTGTGAATGAAGAAAGTATCTGTGATTCCAAAATGAAGCTCTTACCCATTAACTTCACAAGTAAATTAAAAAACCAAAAAACAAACAAAAAAAAACAAAAGAGCTTCAATAATTTGTAACCTTAAGATCTGACCACCTTGTGATCAGGTTGTTTCCCAAATCCAAATTTTGGATTTTTGTATTCCGACCCAACTCACTAGGGAGAGCCTGACACAAACAAAATCAGTATAACTATAACACCAATCTATAACTGAAACAGAATGCATAAACTGTTGTACGGATTAATGATTATTTGAATAATATTTGTAAAAAAAAGAGTAAATTACTGAAATTGTCCCTATGGTTTGGTCAAAATTGCACGTTTGGTCTCTAACTTTTTTTTTTGCACTCGGATCGTCCCTGTGGTTTGATTTATGTAAGGGACGAAAAATGCAACAAAATCAAACCACAGGACGATCTGAATGCAAAATAAAAAAGTTAGGGACCAAACGTGCAATTTTGACCAAACCATAGGGACGATTTCAGTAATTTACTCTAAAAAAAACTAATAGGAGTTAATCGAGAAAGTCTCTTTTATTCTGATTTAAGTCGTTCTTCCTGCATTAAGTAGAAAAGAAACATTTTTGTACATAACTTACCAGA